AATAATTAAAGTTTTATTTAATATAATATATAAAATTTATATTTGAGTGAATTCAACTTTTTATAAATTGTTATTAAAAGAGCAATAATAGGAATGATAAAAGTTTTACATTAATAATATAATTTATATTACGTTATAAAATTAATTAATACACATAATATTAAATATGTAAAAAATAAAAAAATTATATAAAATTTATATTTTAATATTTTAAATAATATAATATAAATTACAGTGATCAAAATAAATTCGTTGAATCCGGCAAGTTCATGCCTCTCGAGACAATATTATTTGTAGGGCCCATATTATTTAAAGCAAACCGCGTCTTGCTTGAGTCAACAACTATGTTGTACTCCAATTATTCTGTCCATGCAATGACCATCATAACCCTATCGAAGGAAAGCAAGACAATATCACTACAATATTAAAAAGTTGCAATAGATGTAATTAGGAAATTTGATTTGTAAGAAGTTCGAATTTTGTCATATTTTCAGATAAAATTTTTATACTCTTTTTGTTTTAAAATAATAGGTATTTTTTATTTTTATTTTATGATTAAAAATTTAAAATAATTTTTATCTTTACTTATTTTATACTTAAAAAAATAAAAATAAAACTGTCATATTAATCTATTAAAAATTTGAGATAATTTCTACCTTAGGATTTTAAATTTGATTTTTTGTAGAGCCCATATTCTGTCCAGACAATGACCATCATAGCCCTATTGAAGAAAAACAAAACAATATAATATCACTACAATATTAAAAAGTTGCAATAGATGTAAGAGCAGTGCTAGGGGCACTCGCCTCTTGCACTCTCCGGCAACACTTCCCCTTTCATTGAGCCACGTAAGCTTGTTTCCGGTTTTGAAGTGCAATCTCTGACCTATCAGAATAACGTGGCCCAATAAAGGTGAAAGTGTTGGCCGGAGAGTGCAGAAGGCGAGTGTCCCTAGCACTCCTCTGTAATTAGGAAATTTGATTTGTAAGAAGTTTGAATTTTGTCATATTTTCAGATAAAATGTTATTCTAATGTTTTATACTTTCTATATCTAAAAATAATAGATTTTTTTTTTATAATTAAAAATTTAAGATAATTTTTATTTTTAAAAAAATAAAAAACAAAAATACCATATCAACCTATTAAGAATTTGACATAATTTCTATCTTGAGATTTTAAGTTTAATTTTTCTAATGTGCACAGTTAATTTAACATTATATTACTGTTTAATTTTATTTAGTAATAATTGATTTACACCATCAATATGTACTGCAGTAGTGGATATGTGATTCACTCTTTTTTAGCATCACATTCAAATCAGTCATTTTACATGCCATATCAACCTAAATAGTCTCTCTCACAACTTCATCCATCTCCTTCAACCATCCATAGCCTCTCTCTTTTTCCCATCCTATTATTGTGTTACTATTCCATCCTTGCAGTTATTTTCCAGAAAATATCTTCCTTGCGATTCCAGCTTTAAGCATTAAAGCAAGGGTATGCTTCTTAATTAATCCCCAGCTATAAATGGCTAAATTACTTTTAGTCAAATTTCATTTTATTTTTTGCAATCTTTTGATGGATATATCTCTCCAGATATTACTTCTATAAATGTGTGTTATTATATTTTCCTTTTTACATTGACCAATCCCTATAAATAGCATTATATTGACTGAACTAGAGATATAATATTAGGTGTTTTGATGGATATATTTGTTCATATCATTATTTTCAAGAGTGTGTGTCATTAATTTTTTTCATTTTTACATTGAACAATCTCTATATATATACCATTTTATTGACCAAATCAAACATATAATATCAAGTGTTTTAATTAGTACTATTTAAATATATTTTTATTTTAAAACTTTTTATTAGTTGTGTTTTAATTCATTAGAGGATCTAATTATTCTTAATTAAGCTATGTTTTTAACTAATATA